TTCGACGAGCGGCGCGAGCTCCTTCAGGGTCACGCACAGCGCCTTGAGCGTGCGGCGGAAGCCCTCGGAGCCCGGCGCGACGTCGCCGACATCGCGCGGCCCGCCGACGCCGGAGACGGACCAGAGGAGGACGTCGAGCGCGTCGCGATCCGTGGCGTAGGCCGCGCCGAGCTTTGCGCGGTGCGCCGCCTGCAGCTTGAGGAAGAGGTCCGCGCCGGCCTCGGGGCCCGAGCCGCCGATGATGCCCACGCGCGGCTTGCGGCGCGTCACCTGGGCGGCCATTGCGTTTGCGGTTGCAGAGGGCTAGCGGTTTTGCAGCGGCAGCGACTCAGTGGCAGCGACTCAATGCTCGTCCATGCCCTCAAAGACAGCAGCACCAAAACAGCACCAAAAACATTTTTTGCCACAGCGACGCGATGGCGAGCGCCTAGCCTCTACCCGTACGTAAAACGGCCATGAGCAGCCTGAGCTCGTCCTACGCCAAGTGGGACGCCATGGACGTGAGCGACGACGAGGAGCAGCGGTGGCAGCCGCCGCGCGACATCGACGTGCCCCTGAACATCACCGACGACGACCTCGCGACGCCCCAGTTCGCGAGCCCCGAGGACGCGGCGCAGGAGGCGGCGCGCGTCAAGGCCATGAGCGACGGCGACCGCGCCAACTGGCGCGCCGCCGGCTGGCTCCACTCCCGGGCCGGCGACGCCGACGAGGCCGGCGAGTGCGCGCGGCGGAGCGCGGTCCAACGCCGTGCCGAAAAAAGCAGACTTCAAACCTCTCCAGCTCGGTCAAATCGAAGTCGATTCGGCTGATTTTTGGACGAATCGATTGCTCTCGGCGGGTTCTCTACGTCGAAACTGTCGACTACGCTCACATTGAAGTCGGGTTGCAGATTTGATTTCGGCCCAGGTCCACGACGAGCTCGAGTCCGTCGCGTCGGAGCGCGACTGGCAGGAGCGCTGGTCGTCCGACGGCGAGAAGCGGCGGCGCATCGTCGAGGCGCGGCTCCGGCGGACGCCGGCCATCGGCGCGGAGGTCAGGCTCCCGCCCTGCGCGGGCTTCGACTTCCCGAGCGCGCTCGAGATCCTGTGGTGCTGGGGCGAGGCCGTCTGCCTGTTCCACGCCGCCGCGTCGACGGCGCTGGGCGCGGCGAAGAAGCCCGGCGCGACGACGCTCGACGACCCGCACTGGAAGGTGAAGCTCGGCGGCTGGAGCCGGGACGACGCGCTCGACGACTTAAGGCGCGACCTCGACGACCTGCGGGGCGACGTCGCGGGCCCGGACGAGGACTGGGTCAACGCCGACGCGCGCCGGCGGCGGGGCGTCCGCGCGAAACTCGACCCCGGCGCGGGCGCGGGCGCGGAGACCTGGCGGGACTGGGTCGCGCTCTGCTCGAAACGCTACGCGCCCTTGGCCCTCCACCTCCCTTCCGTCCTCTCCGCGGTCTTCGACGCGACGGACGCGGCCATCGACGCGGTCCTCGACAAGGACGGCGCCCTGCTCCTGAGCCAGCTCAGCGTGGGCCTCCAGTTCCTCGCGCGGCAGCTCGAGGGCGTCACCGTCGCGCTCTTCGTCGACGGGCCGGAGACGCTGCGGCGCCGCGTCGACGCGGGCGACTACGCGGCGTCGGCGTCGGCCTTCGCGGAGATGTGGGAGGCGACC